TATATATATATATTCCTCCCCCTTTCCTACTACTACGGTTTCTTTCATTATGGCAAATTATTATAAAGCTGTTAGAGCTATAAATAATGCTACTGCTACATCTAATATTGAGGGAAGGATGAGACCTGTTTTGGTCAGATGGTTACCACCTGAACCTAGGTGGTTTAAGGCTAACATTGATGCTAGTTGGTCTAATATGTCTACTTGTGCTGGTGGATTGTTTAGAGACTATTATGAGATTTGCCAAGTTTTTTTCGCTACACCAATTGTCGCTTCCACTCGTCTTAAAGCTGAATGTTATGCTGTTCGTTTGGCTTTAAAGTTCAGTGTCTCTTTTAATTTCAAAAGTGTTATCATTAAAACAGATTCAAGATGTCTATATAATATTTTCATCAAGAATTCTGAGCCCATTTGGAATTTAACTTGTTTATTACGCCGCATTTCTAATGAGATACATAGCAACTAGCTTCAAATCCTTTTCACTTTCACCTATAGAGAGGGAAATACTCCTGCAGATTGGCTTTCTAAACTAAAGTTAAATGATGCCCTGGTTGGCTTCCCCTTAAAATTTATATATTAAGTGATATTGTAGATACTACTTATTTGAGGAGATGATGGATTCTTATGCAGTTTCCTATTATTATTTTTGGGATTTGCCCTTTTGTCCCTCATTATTACGTGTTGGATGTTAAAGGATTGGCTGCTATGTCATGGCTCTCTACTATGGATGACGGTCTTTTTGGCTTTACAACTCTCACGGTTGATTTTACACTCTACTTTACATGTACTTGTAATTTTGGGTATGATATACCTTTCTTGCCTCTGTTTTTTATCTTTATTGTGTGGAGTTGTAATGCGGATAAAGGAACCCCTTGGACTTCATGTATTTCTTTTTTATTTTAGCGGGGATCATTTTTCCCTCGCACTTTTTGTAACCTCATCTAATATTAACACGTAAGGAGCCATGAGTTGCTCTTTCTTATATATATATATATATATATATATATATATATATATATATATATATATAAGTCAGTGCCCTACCTGGATCATTTTTTATGCATTTAATAATCTGACACCTAAACTTCAATTTTTACTAATATGCTATCATATCTCTAAATGAAAAAAATATATCACATGCTAAAATCATGAGTGCTAGATATTTAAATACATAAAAATTTGGTGCTATGTATGTATGTAAATGACCCTAATTAGCAGCAGGATTCATCGCAGATCCTTTATAATGCCTTATCTTTCCACATCTTACTTAGCTCGACCTTCCTGGTGGCATCCTCTTGTCAGGTGCCTGGGATTGTCACCTCTTAATGCTACTTTGTGACACATGTCCATTTAACTTCCAATTTGTTTCTCAAACTGTCTATTATCTTCATTGTGCACATCGTCGTTGGCAGCCTTGATTCCAACATTGCTAATTACAGCCCCTTGCCCGCCATATGTCCAAACTCTGCGCTTGACTTGGACGTACAACACTACTCTCTTATATTTTCATTCTTCAACTAATACCCTTTTCATTGTTAATTCCTCTTCAACAACCCTACTAATAGAAGCAATTCCATTATAAATACCACCCCAGCTCTTCTATCATCAATAACACCCATATGAGATAATTTTTTTGTCATTAAAAGTTAATCCAAGACCATTTTTGATTATACATCTGCTATTGGTAACGTGGTACATTATATGTTATATAATCTTAATGAAAGAAAGCAATCCTATTTTTTTTCAAGAATCATATGTAACTACAGGGATTATTGTGATATCGACTTTGAGGAAGAATGAACATTGGTTTGAATTACTGTAATTTGATGCATTCATTGTGAGAATAATCATCGAAGATTTTTATGAATGATCATTGAATTTGGAAAGCCAAAGGAGAGATTAAAAAATACCTGTGGGAAAGCTAGCTCTTGTTGTTCCCCTATAGTGCTCACATTAAGGTTGTGGCTTGGAAGACAGTGTAGTGAGAAGAAAATAAAAAATGCATAGCTGAAATAAGAAATGTTATTGAAACCAGAAAGAAAACCATACAAGTTATAACAGAAGTTGTTTTTAAAGTAGTGTTTGTTATGAAGGTATGTGTTGTTGGTAAAGAATATTCTTGAGGTATTTTGTTATGTTGCTTACAAATATGAAGTTCTGGTTAGATGTAAAAAGCTTTTCACAAAAAATATGAAAGTGTCCCCCTTTTTGTTAAAGTTTGCTACAAGTTGATCATGGAAGACCGCATGTTGAAATTGGATAGCCATAGATTTGATGGCATCATGAACGAAGTGTTAGTCTAATTATATATGTTTAGTGTAGGAATGAAAGAAAGGATTATTGGCAAGGACAAATGTTAAATTGTGCTGACAATATAACATTATAGGAGATGGGGTAGAGTGTCCAAATTATTTCAGATGCCGTCAAAGTAAGATGATCTTTGCGGTTGTCGTAGCAAGAACCATGTACTCAACTTCTGTGCAGGAATAAGTGATACTTAAGCCATGTCAATAACCTATCGTTGATCCATGATCACATGATTCACCTGCCCGGTAAAGGTCTGAAGAAACTCAGTGATATGCGGCAGCATATTTGGGCAACCCATAGTGAAACTTACCTGTGATTTATCTTAGTAGACTCTTAAGTAGATGGATCTAAAAATTGTAGTGTTGGTATATATGCTCACAAGCTTTGTTTACTAGTAATGATATAAATGCCAGGTTGGTTAAGAGTTAACTAATTGAGCAAGTGAATGATTTAATTGTGATGTTCAAGGCGAGGGGATAGTTTTGAGGGTTTCTTACATCATGGGAAAACCACTAATTACACAAAAAAAATGGTGGCTAACAACTTATATTTCAACTGATAATCAAACTTATAAGATGAATTCTAGCTAAAAATTATTAGCTGATATATTGCTTGTTCGAAATGCTTTAACGAGTAAATGCTTTCCGTAATTAGGGATTTAATGAGAATTTCGATTGGATTTTAGATGATAATTTGAGTGGTTGAATACTAGCTGATTTTCAACAAGCATATTATTGTTGATTGAAATATCAACCGTTAAATCAACCATCCGAAAAAGTGGTCGGACATCCCGTCAATAAATATGTGAATTTTTTTAGCGAAAGAAAAATAAGTCAATATTCAATGTAAAGCTAGTACAAAAATAAAAAAAATTAATAGGGTCTTACCCAAAAAATAGATCACACATTTGCCATCTTAAAATAAAACAAATAACAATTATATCTCCAACATCTCATAACAATATAAAACAACACATAATGATAATGATAACGATAACGAATGACATCATAATAAATGCAATAATAAATCTCAACAAATCAACAACTACAATAGTATCTATAAAATAAATAAAATTAATTAAAATAATATTCTACACACACGAAAAAAAATGAACTATTAGTCCACTTCCTCCTCCTTGGTCATAAGTTTTTTTGCCACACATTTTTGTTACGTTAGAACTACTTAATTGTGGTGTCAAGCCTCTTGATCCTTTTATCAATCATTTATACCTTCTCCATCAATAACTTTAGTCTAAAATCCATGCCATGTAGATCAACAAAAAAGTTCACCTGAAACACTTTGGTGACTACAGTCACACACCTAATGACTTCATCATCAACTTAAGACAAATTTTGACCAAAATTGGATTGTTGTACCTATGAATAAATCCCTATGCACTGAGCCATTTATTCTCCCCTTTTCCTCCTCTCGGTAGCTTCCCTCCATAATTTGATCTCTGAGTGGTCAGAATGATCACTCGAACAACCAACTCAAATTGGGCTATGACACTAAGCATTCTTCAAGTGAACAAACTCATCATACAAATGATTATAAATGGTAATTACTATTGTAAAATGGTTATAAGCAAATAGCTTGACTAAAAGAAAACTGTTCACCTTTAGTTGATGCACTAAGATCTATCTTTGATCCATTTTTTATCTGACTAATGCTGTGTTAATATGTGAGTGCATTCAATTTAGTGACGGTGGGCTACTATCCAAGCATCTATCTTTGCCAACCTATACACATTATGTGGGATCGAGCCTTTGGTGTGTAGGGAGGTACCCATGTTTCTATAATCTGAGGTCTGATTATTCTGTGTCATTTATCTCTTCTCGAGATACTTAAATAAGGCCTAGGATCTACATAACTCAAATCAGGTATCCCCTCTTATTCACTTGGGACTCTAATCTTTACAGATACCAGTGAATATATCTCTCAAGAGATTTTTCCCTCAAGTCTCCAAGTTCCTGATCTGGATCTGCCTATGATGATAAAAATGCCAGTAAACTTCCCTCTTTAAAGAAAATATCAAACAATGT